CTCTCTGTACGTGCCAGGGCAGGTTAAAGGAAACTGCTTGTTTTACTTTCAGCTCTTGGCTGGCTGAAAAACAGCAGTTAAAATTCGCTCGTCAGCAGCGACAGGTCGCGTCGGGCTCTGGAGCGCCGAACGCCCTTTACCTTGGCTCAGGAAGCTGAGCAACGTTAGGGAAAACAGGAAAGCTCTCGGGCGCAGCGTGCGGGGCTGGGAAGGAAGCTGATCCACCTCGGCTGGTCCAGGAGCCTCTGTCAGACCCTGACTCAGCTTGGAGCGAGTTACTCATGTTATTTCCAGGCTCGGTGAGTTTAGATGCCTCCTAGAGACATCTACGAGTAGTTGTTGCTTTGCAGCAGTGTTTCACACCGCTGCTGAGAGGAAGCTAGGACTCGCTCGCGCGCGCCGGGGCGCGCGTCGGGTTGGGGAGGAAAGCCTGCGTGCGGTGCCTGGGGCTCCCGTGGTGAGGCTCAGCATCACCCAATGCCCTACTGCTGGGAGTCTGTCAGGAGAACAGCAGAAACCCGGAGACGTATGGAGGTACGGGGGAAGTTGTCTCAGTGTTTGTGCTTACAGCAGGCTGACTAGTTCGTTAACCTTGAAATAACGGGTGCAAACGTATGAGGAGTCAGAATCAAATTTTAGTTTATAGGACTCTGATCCTGAACGTAGGTCACCCGTTCTGTTGTCTAAGCAGAACTGTCAATTGTAAGCATTCAGAAAATGAGTTTGAGCTCCAAGATTTTGAGGTAATTTATAATACTTAAAACAGAGAGGCTTTGAATTCTTTTTTTTTTTTTTTTGGCTTCCTGATTTCTGGGCTTTCAGTTTGTCATATCAAGAGTTTCTTCATAACCTAAAGTGACCATTTTTTTCCTCCAAGGGTGGAAGGCTGAGATTCTAGTGGTTATAGGAATGAGCTTTAAGAAAAGCAAGTGCTGTAATGAAATTGTGTGCATCGCTATCATTATTAAAATTTCCCAAGTCATGTCATTGAAGTGCGAGATTTTTCCTCCTCTTTGAGAATACTGCAAAAGCAGCAGTAAGTACCACAAACTACGGCATGCTGGTTGCTTGTCAAGGTAGCCAGATAGGAGGAATTCCTGTGTAGCCAGTTCATATTAAGATCTTTGTTCCCTGTGGCTGAGTAGATTTATTGATGTCAGAGCAGAAAAATGGTAAGTTGGCTGCTTAACAGGGATGTTACAGTTCAACTCCATAAAACATGCAGGCTGTCTCCTTTACTCATTCATTTGCCAAGTACCCAAAAAGTCGCAATGACAGGAGTGGAGGATGGAGCACTGCCCTCATGATCATATTTCCTGCCTTTGCTGGTTTATGTCACAGCCTGTTATTTTATTTAGAAAAAAAAACACTTGAGAATTTCCTCTTCATTTTAGTGGAAGTGCGAAGAGGTGGGGCAGGGGCAGAAAAGGGAGCATGTCAATATGTTTTGTAACCAGCTAAGTTAGTCTTATCCTGAAGACTTGCCATTTTGCAGGTTTTAAATCGGAACTTAAGCTAGAAAATGGGAGTTCCTGCTCTCCCGGGTACTTGAGAGAAGCCTACCGCGGTTGCGGTCCTGGAGCGTTGTCACAGTATGACTTCGTAGCGTAGTGAAGTCCCAGCATCAAAACCTAGATCCAGATTTTTACTTCGGTTACTGAACTGTTACCACTGGGAGACCCCCAAATAACGTGTGTGATTCAGGGGACATCTCGGCACAGCTGTGAATGCTGCAAGTGTCCGAGTCATCTTGGTTTCTGACAAGAAGTGATTGTGTGGGTGGTATGGTCACCTATCTTAACAGCATTCAGATGGACGAATGAAAGCGTTGGTTAGTTAATGTACACAGATACAAACTTTATCTGTGCTAATGCATATTTGCATGGGAAATAAGTTCTCAAAATCTGGAATAAGTAAATTGGGAGTAAGATCTTCCTAATATCCACTTTGGAATGAAAAACATTTTCGTGTTTGCTCTTGAATCTGTTAAATTCTGGCCTTTGTTGTGGGCCCATCTGTCTTTCTGACCACTATATCAGTTTAACATTACGGAGGTATCATCTGTTGTCTTACAGAAGTTGGAAGGGCCAGATGAAGGACATTTGCAAGTAATCTGTTTGGCTGAGATAGGATACAGCAACAAAAGCTTCACCACGGACTATTTCTTTCCAACAAGTTGTTCTGAAGTTTCCTTTGCAGTTAGCAAGGAGTTAATTGCGGGAGCAGTGATGGGCCCTTCTTTGATCAGTGAGCTGCCTTGCGTTTGGCGAGACTGGCAGACGAAGAGCCTAATGGAGCAGGAATTGTGTTAAAGGCCCATTTGGTGGTAACAGGTTTAGGCGGTCTTTAAAATCTCATAGCAACCAGGGAACAGGAACAAGCGCTCCAGAGTTCACGGGAAGAAAGAGGTAGGAGCCCCTCCGCTTGTCCACGGCTATATAATAAGGCGCTGATATAAGTACTTGCATAACTTGGCTTTTCAAGGCGTAAATTGTGTGACAGGGGCAAATCTGTTACATCAGTTCCACCAAATAAATTTTCTGACTTGGAAGTGGTCACAAATTGTCTTGGGCTGAGCTGAGAAGTGCTAGAACTAATTCTCAGAGCCTCTGCTTTTGTTCCTCTCCTTTAAGGGCTTCCAAGCATGTTGTATAACTCCTTTTAAAAAAAGGAAACATGCTCAGGGTATTGGGTCCCTGGAAGGCTTAACTTCAGGAGTAAAAAACTGGGCGGGATCGGACTGATTTTGCAGATGGAAATCACTTCTGAGCGTGAATTCTGCAATATGAATTTTCTTACCATCCATTTCTTTGCGGATTCATATGAAATGACTTGTATGTCAATTCTGTTCTTGGCAAAGGAGACCTATTTTACTTTTAAGAGGAGTAGTGATTTTGATAGTCAAATTAAGAGTTAGCTGCTTTTAAAATTTTCTGGGCTGAGCAGCCCAAAGTTGTGCCATGTAGAGTCAGTGTCAATACTGATTTAGAAAACACTAAAGTGTTTCTGAAGTTTCAAAACCATTTTTTAAGAGACGTTTGAGCTCAAAAGTTTGTAGAGATTGATCTTTTGCCATAACAATTGTGGCTGAGATATGCAGGTGATTTCTGATGTTCATGTTAAAAATACTTTATTTTATTCAACATCCACTCTTGGACTACTATTTTTTTTTTCCAAAGCTACTGAATATCTAGAAGCTTACATAATAATGCTTATTGCAAACCTTCTGAGAGCACAGCTGTGTCCCTGTGATGAGAAACCAGTACGTGCACGCTCTGCCCTGGTGAGCAGGTTGAAGTCGGTGGCCCGCGAGAGGAAGCGGCCCACAGTTCCCATGAAGTGGGAAGCAAGTATGTTCTTACTGGGTACGTGAGTGTTGTCAACACGGGGATTTGGGAACCTTGCCTTCCCTGGCTAGCTCCTGCTCTCACATTGTTCTTTATGTGAGCTGCAAATAGCAATTGGAAAACAAACAACTTTGGCTTAATTTCCTTCTCCTTTTAAAATTAACATTTTTTTCCCCCCCTTATAAATAGTGCAAATTTAAACCTAAGGAAAAGCAAAATATTGACTCATTTGTTCATCCCTTACAATTCCTGTTACATTCTCTGCAAATTCCCATTATAAGCAACATACATTGCCAGATTATCTACACTAGCCATCTTGTTACTGAAGAGGATATAAAGTTAACTTCCTTGTAGTTTAGTTTTTCTCACGTATTTGAGTTTGGCTAATGGTGTTATGAATCTTAAGGTAGGTCAGTTGGCGTTGGCTTCTGACCTCTAAAAAGATGGTGGAAGCAGCACTGACGTGATCTTAGAAAATCCACAAGTTTTCCTCGGAGCCGCACGGAAACACATCTAGCGTAGAGAGTTTCTTTAGGCCAAGCATCTTGATCCTATAGTTTTAGTGGAAGTTCACCAAGCTCTCAAGCCATGTATAGCTGAAATCATTGAGTTTTGCCTTGTTTTTATCCTCACCAATCCTCCTGAATTTTGCATAAATGCCTCGCGGAAAAAATTGGAAGGACAGTCTGTGCTTGTTTTAAAGGAAATATGTACAACACTGACCCAGGTGAAAGTGGTCCTGCGGAGAGAAACCGCACAGCTTCTCATGCGTGGCTGCCTCTCCTGTATTTCCCAGAGCGAACGGTCCTTTGCAACTGCCACGTTCCTTCAGTGTGCCAGAATATCACTGAAGTCCTGCATCAAGTCCTGCTGCAGCTTATTGCACTCCTGGATCTCCAGATGTTTTATGGGGTCAAGGAAATTTCATTGTGGTTTTTTTAACCCACGGCACTTGGTTGAAATCGGCTCCCCAGTCATGCGTCTGGTCAGGGCAGTGTATGCTGGTGTCCTTCTGCATGGGCTGCGGGTGCTGGTGTGTGCTTGGGCTTCTGCAGTGCCCTAAAAAACTGGACTGGCAGGGACAGGGGGTACTTGTGCTCTCAGATGGGACCGGGGCCAGAACAAGGCAGCTTCCACAGAGGAGTGTTGAATTAAAGGGTGTGCTAGGAATTTTCAAAGTAGGCAGACTTTGCTGCATTCCTGTGAAATATGGCCTTACAAGTCCTTGAAGGATTTATTGTTTTCCGGGCACTGCTGGATCTAGTCCGATAGGCTGGATATAGGAAGGAAATGACTCAGTTGCTCTACAGACAAGTGCAGCTTTGAAATTCAAAGAGGCAGGAGACAGCTGAGAGGCTCCAACTCATTCCCGTCGGGAGTTGGGTTCTTGTGTGTCTACTATTCTTTTGTGCTTAGCACTTCAGGGTCGCAGTCAGCAAACGGGGCAGAGGGTAGAAAGGAAAGAGGCTCTGCTAGGCCATTATCATGCTGGCTAAATGAGCCAAGGCTTCAAAGACCTTCCAGTGTGAGGACACCATGAGAGAGCAGGTGAAGGCAAATGAGGCTGGGGGAGGGACGAGGGGTGCGAGAGAGGTGCCATCGTTGTTGCAAGGTCTGTATTTGGTTTCAGAAGCAGCTGCTAGGCTGTGTCTCTGCCTAACCATTGCTAATTGATTGCTATGCTGGGGGCACCGTGCGGGGCAGAGTTTGAAGACAGATGTGTAACGGCTTTCAGGTTTTCTGAAGATCGTTCTCCCCCCACTCGCAGAAGTTCAGAAGCGCTGATCCTCCCCAGCGATGAGCTGTATGAGGAGTCCAGGCAGTCCTGGGTGGTTTCTACTGCAGCAATTCATTCTGCTTGTCTCTACTCCTGTTCCCTTATCTCCTTTCCACTCACCCGTTCTGTCTGGAGCTGGGCCTTTGCTGGGTGTTTGTGTGCTGAGCTGCGCCGAGATTTGCCACAGAAAGTGGAGAGAAATATTCATGAATTTGCAGGACAGGTTCAGGCTTTTGGAACTTCTTAACCAGCATCAAGCTGCCCAGTCCCTTTTAGCTAGTTTCTGCCTTGTGCTGTAACTTCTGGCTGTTGTCAGATGTGGACCTAAGCAGATGCTTTCTCCATCCTGTTATCAGCTTGGCTGGAGAGAGAGAGATGGTTTTTAAATGACAGTAAGATCCTTACCAAAG